CTAGACCTGTGGTAATATTTCCAGTCTAGTTTCTCACTCACTACTTTAGAACAAGTGCCTGATCAAACTCTGGCAAGTTTTTTTGTGGGTTTTTTCAGGCTGTGTGGCCATGTTCTAGACGAGTTTCTTTCTGACGTTTCGCCAGCATCTGTGGCTAACAATGACAAGATGCTAGCCACAGATGCTGGCGAAACGTCAGAAAGAAACTCTTTCAGAACATGGCCACACAGCCCGAAAAAACCCACAAAAAAACTATGGATGCCGGCCATGAAAGCCTTTGATTTCACATTCTGGCAAGTTTGTTTTAAGCATGTTTAAAACTTGTTTTAAAAATATGAACTGGTTTTACTAATGCCAGTTGTTTTTCTGCCTCTACCCTTGTATTTCTGGAACACTCACTATGCACTTTTCTGTGCATTATAGGCTAATGGATGTTTGCACAATGACACGGACAGAGCGCGAGACCAAAGTGACATTGGTCTTTGAGCACGTAGATCAAGATCTGAAAGCATTTTTGGAGAAAACTCCACCTCCTGGTTTACCAGCAGAGGTGATCAAGGTAAATATTCCCAGTGGTATCCTGATTATAGTTGGAGAGGCACCCCTTTTCTGGGTAGGCATCCTAATGTAGGCTGCAGGAGGTTTTCCAAACACCGGTATTGACGCCGCATTCTCTCCCCTCCCCCCTTCTTATCTACTTCTAGGATATGATGCATCAGTTCTTGAGTGGCTTGGAGTTCCTGCATTCAAACTGCATTGTTCATCGTGACCTTAAGCCAGAAAATATCTTGGTGACCAGCTCTGGTCAAGTCAAGCTAGCTGATTTTGGCCTTGCTCGGATATACAGCTGCCAGATGGCTCTGACCCCTCTAGTGAGTTAACAAGGCTTGAGTTTAGTAAAAAGTCAAAGATTTTTGTTTCCTGCTTAGTGTAACTGAGTTGGGAGATTGACTAGAGCAGGAGTAAAATCATGCAGCTCTCCCAAGTTTCCTCAGACTGTAAGTCCCAACTATCCCAGCAGCAGCCTAAGTCAATTTTTCAGTCCAACAATCTCTTAAGAAACACATATTTCCACCTTTTAGAGTGTCCTCAGCTAAGCAGGGAACTTTTTTTTACTTCTTTTGGCCCTAGTACAGTGGAGAAAGAGATATCAGAATATCCACAGTGCATTTGAACTATCTTAAGAGTTGTTGCAAGGAAAAGCATCAGAAGTTTGTGATCTACAACTTTATAGGGCTGGGCGCACTTCTAGCAACTGTTTTGAGAAATAAGCATCTCTGTAAGTCCAGAAATCATGGAAGCTTCCTGCCTTAGGGTGGGGGTCTTCATTATCCTTGTGCTTCATGGAACAAAGTGGACGTGGGGAGGCTTCATAACAGCTGTGCATTTTACCTGCACTGATGACTTCAATCTTTTCCACTGCAGGTTGTCACCCTCTGGTACCGTGCTCCAGAAGTGCTGCTCCAGTCAGCCTATGCTACCCCTGTGGACTTGTGGAGTGTTGGCTGCATCTTTGCAGAGATGTTTCGAAGAAAGTAAGTATGATAGGAAGACCAGGGTGGTGGCGGTGGTGCTGATGCAGCAAAAAGGATGATAGGTTAGGTCCAGTTACTTGGCCACATCCCTAAGTCTTCCACTGTTGCTAATAGTGGCAGGACCATGGGGTCGAGCCATATGGGAACTGATTTGCCTTAGCACAAGGGTGGGGAACCAGTGGCCTTCCAGATGTCAGGAGTCTCATCACTCTCATAAATCCTAGACAGTATGGCCAGTGCTGAAAACTTATGGGCGTTGTTGAGCCTTTGATAGGCCATCAGTTCCCTATCCCTGCTACAGCCCTTGTGTAAGTAGCTGTATTGTCCATAGCAGCTAGAAATAGAACTGCTCTGCTCCAAGGACACTTCCCACTTACATATTTGTTCTTGTGATTTTTTACTTTATGGCACAACATTTGCACAAAATCACATTATTTGACTATTTGTCAAAATAATGAGATGTGTTTGCAACCTTCTGTGTAGAAGATGTGTTAAATTTTTAAATACACTATTGTTTTCCTTTTTTACCCTTTAAGTGGGATCCATTTGACAGAACGGAGAATGAGGAAGGGCCAGTATAGATGGAGTAGTTGGAAAATACTAAGGTTAGGAGGACAGACAGTACCAAGACATGGTGAATGTCTTCAGGTGCCACAACAAGACTGGTTTCCTCTTGGACCTTGACTTGTTTCCAAGGAGCATTACAGTATTCATTCATTGCTCTGCAGCTAGTTCATCCTCTGGGCACCACCAATTCTTATTCTTTGGCTTCTTCCAGAGAAGCCAGAGAATTGGGGCTGCTGACTTTCAGACCACACAGTAAACCAGAGAACACCAGGCATCAGGACCACCCAACTGCAGAGTGAATAGACATGATGTTTTTATCAATTCCACCTGGCAGATAACAGTTGAGCCAGGGGCACAAGCCAGGGATTCTTTCTTACTGTGCAGTTACAGCACTGTGATTCCTCTTTAACTGCCATGGCAACATCCTATGGAAGCCTTGGGTTTCCTGTTGAGAGGGAAAGTATCCTTAATTTAGAATCCTCAGCCAGGGAGCTCTTCTGGTGCCTGTGACCAAACTACAAATGCATAGGACCCAGTCATGAAAGCTAAAGTGGAATCATAGGGCTATATTTATGTAGTGTAAAGTAGGCCCAGGATTCATGATGTGTTTTTCCTATCTGACTGCTCCCAGTATATGGGCCTAGGCATTCAGTTTCCCACTCCAGGGTGGTGAACCATGTGAACCTTGAGATCTTGGGTCTTGCAACACTTCTGGTCAGCAAAACCATAGTTAATATCCAGCATCATTTTGTGGGCTGTGGGATTCCCACCCCTACCCCAGTGCCTGGAAAGATGCCAGCATTGGCACGCCTGCTTCCCAGCCAAATATTTCCAAACTGCAGCTAAGAGCGTGATCTTGTGAATAGACCCTCCTGGAGCACATGCTGCTTGCAGGATACTGGGGCTAACCACACAGCTGGGAGACAATAGATTAGGGTTGGGCTTGCCCAAGCCCTCTGTCTTGCTTATCAGTCAGGCTTAAGGGCTGATAGACAGGGAGGAGCTGGTGACCTTCTCTGCAGAATATGATGTGGCAGCAGTTGATGCTGAGTCTATCTTAGGGGGCAGACGGAAACTAGGAGTTGGGATTAGAGGTGCGGTGGGGCTGAGGTCACTGTGTCTCCCCCACACCTTGTAAATATAAAGTAGACATCTCCGGGTTCATTGTTTGGGCTTCTGCTGACAAGGACAGATGTTCTAAACGCAACGGGGAAAAATAAAAGGATTTCTAATTGTTGCTATTAGATATGTGGAGGGAAATCAGAACGTTGGCTCTGAATGAGCATTCTGGAGTTTCAGAAAGTAATTTTTTTAAGCTCTGAAGGAATCCACAAAGTTGTCTATCATGATCAGATGCATTTCCCCTGTTTTGAATTCCTGAAAGTAAAAGAGCTACAAATGGGTTGGGGGATGCTTCACAAGTTAACAAAATTCCTACTTTTTTGGCACAAGCACCTTAAATGTGCAACGTGTGTAGATCAGGGCTGGGAATAACTTGGTTCTCCAAATGACATTGGATTGTGGCTCCCATCTGCCCTAGATAGCGTAACCAGTAGTGATTATTTCTGGTAACTGCGGTCTGACAAACTCTGGAGGGCTGGGCTATTCCCATCCCTTTTATTCATGTTCTTATGTTCATTTTGTTGCATGCTTCTGTCCTGTGGTTATGCAAAGCTTCATGGCACATGTACATTGAATGAAAAACCCATTATGTAAATTGCCGCTTATCTAAACACAGATCTTGTAGCGCCTTTGAGACTGAGGGCCTTTACAGACTACCAGAAATAATGCAGTTTGAGGCCACTTTAATTGCCCTGACTTGGGACTGTAGTTTATTGTGGCACCAGAGCTCTCTGACACAGGAGGCTCAATGTCTCAGAAAAAAAAAAATACAATTCCCATGATTCACTAGTACTGAGCCAGGACAGTTAAAGTGGCCTGCAGCTGCATTATTTCTGGCAGTCTGTAAAGGCTCTGAGTTAAAGAAGTTATAGCATAAGCTTTCATAGATTTGGCCTACTTCCTTCACTTCATGCGTCTGAGGAAGTAGACCTAGTCTACAAAAGTTTAGCTATAACTTCTTTCACACAGTTATTCTCAAAGATTGCTACAAGATCCCTTTGCATACTGATATTCCAGACTAACATGTCTGTCTCTGAATTCTACTGCAGTGGATTACTTGTCTCTTTCTCAAGAGAATAAGCCTTCTTTATTGCTACTGATTCCAAGTGTCTATTAACATGATGTGGTGTTCAGTTTTGTGTTAACTTACAGCTATAGGCGAGTTTAATCAGGCCTCTGCATTTTCGAGCTGACCATCTTTATTCAAAGAGACAACCTTGTTTATCTATTTTAGATAGAAAGGAATTCAGTAGCATCTTTGAAACTAATTGGGAAAAAGAAATTTCTAGCATGAGTCTTCTTGGATGACTGTCCATTTACAAGATCAATATTTATGCTAGAAAGCTGATGCTAGAAATTTGTTTTTCCTAGTTAGTATGAAAGGTGCTACTGGATTTCTCTACATCTTTATTCAAGGTAGTCATACAGTGCAATGGCAGATGAGCTCACTCATACAATTTGTGCATGAGAATGTTTTTTAGTCTTTATTAAAACTTTCAATATTATGGAATAATCAGGTGGTTGCTTCATCTATACTCTTTGCTTCTGCCTCTGAGAGATTTTTGTAAATGGGCCTTGTTTCTAATCCACTGGTCTTTAACTGAAAGGATGTGGAAGTCACTACTAGGTTAAAACTTGAATTGTAACAGCAGTAAGGTCATCTTATTGTGTCCCTTTCAAGTCATTTTCAACTTATGGCAATCCTAAGGCAAACCGGTTACAGAGTTCTGGGGCTGAGAGTGTGTGACTCACCCAAGGTCACCCCATGGGTTTCCATGGCTGAGCAGGGAATCGAACCCTGATTTCCAGAGTCGTAGTCCAACACTCAACCCATTGCGCCATACTGGCTCTCAACACAGTCTGTCACTATACAAATATATGTGAGAATTAAGTATTAGGTCTCTAAAGTGATATGTGAACTATAGATAGTACTGAGAACTGCTTCCATTGGAAAGCCTAGCAATGAGGTGCTCTTTCTGCTCAAATCTGGCAGGGGGTGCTGTGTAGCAGGAAGTAGCTCTCAGAAGGATGGATGCCAACTTTCAAGGCATTGCTGCAAGAACCCTTCCTGTACTTCTGATTCGCCAGCTTAGCATACAAATGTGGAAAGGTGGGGAGAATTGGGAAGGGAGAGGTGCTTGATTGTATGTGCAGAGGAGAGAGAAACACACATAGACAGTACAAAGTGGTGTACATTCTTGCTTTCTTGACTTGGCCATACAAAGTTTGATGGTCCAGGCTTCCTGGTATTTGCAGGGTTGTCACAAATTTGGACTTTTGTGGATATGAGAGTTTCTGGACCTGGAAAACATGCTCTAGCACAAACATATTTTTGTTGGGTGCTTCCACATTGTTTCTGACTTATGGTGACCCTAAGGCAAATGTATCACTGGGTTTTCTGGGGCTGAGAGTGTGTGACTCACCCAAGGTCACCCAGTGGGTGTCCATGGTTGAATCATGGGGAATCAAACCCCAATCTTCAAAGTTCTACTCAGGAACATTGGCGGACTAGGACTCTGGAGATTGGGGTTTGATTCTCTACTTGACCATGGAAACAACTTGCACACAGCAAGAAGGAAATGGGCAAAGTAGCTGAGTTTGCTAAAATCGTGGAAATATTTATATATCAGTGTCATTTATGTCCTACTTTTCCTTCAGTGTATTCATGGTCAGGTACATAGCTCTCTTCCTCTTTACTTTCTCCCCAAACAGACTTTTGAGGCAGGACAGGCTGAGGCATAGTGACTCTCCTAAGGTCACCGAGTTTTCATGGCATAATGGGGACCTAGAATTGTCAGTCCCAATACTTTGAGTCTGTGGCCTTGCTTGGGTATGGTGAATTGACAGGGCCGTCACTATATTACAGTAAGTCCAATTCTTTATTTTGGTTCAGAGACCCAACAAAATTCACTAAAATTAAAATTAAAAGCACAAGGAACAATGAATCAAGTATGGCAGTAAGATACTTGTGATGGGGATGTGTTCAGACTGACCGGTGGGGTGAGGAAGTAGACTATCCCGTGCCAGTAGTCCCATTAATATCTTCTTTCTGTCCTCCCCGCTGTTTGCTAATCCCAGGCATCCAGGGTCTAGTTTGGTCCATACAGCTTCTCTAGAGAATTCAAAGCCTATCTATACAATGACATTTAAAATGTTGTTGTTCTCAGTTCTGTGGAGTGAGTCACAGCTGCCTTGAAAGACTGGGCACAGATGTGATAAAGCCTCACATTACCATCCCCTTTCAGATGGAGCATACCTTGAAGCCTTAAATCTGGACTCAAACAAGATGGTGACGGAGGCTGTAATATGGGAAGAATGGGGCTTAGCGATACAGCGTTTACAATGTCCTATATCCCAGTAACCCACAATTCCCTATGTCCTCTCTGCAGGCCTCTTTTCTGTGGCAACTCTGAAGCTGATCAGCTGGGAAAGATCTTTGAGTAAGTCCTGCCTTTTTTTTTTTTTCTTTTGAAAATTTTGCTTGATTAGCTTTTCTTGCTCCAGAGGGTATGTGTTGCCAAGCCCTCAAGATATAGGAAGTCACTTTCAGTGAGAGTTAGATCATCCTGATTACTCAGTACAGTTCAGAGGACTTGTCTGTCTCAGCACTTTATGAGAGGGCCAAACAAGGCCTGTAGCTTGTTTCTGGGAGTCTGGAAAAGGGGAAGATGATGTGGCTGTGTAACCTCTGTTCATTGACCTTTCTGACAAAACAGGGAAGTGTTTGACTGGAAGCTAGAGGGGGATTAGCTTCTATTAACCATAGCAGTTTTTTTAAAAAAAAAAACTTAAAAAGGGAGAAGGAGGCCCTTCATTTTTTTTATTCAAGGGTCAGCATGGCTTCTTGCATTAATTCTGGTTAAGGATCATGTGGAAATTGGATGTCCAAGTTCAGGAATGGAGAAAGTGTGACCTGCTGGCCACATACAACTTCCAGTTCCTATGTTTGTGGGCCAAAGTTCTTTTGGAGACTCCTTGGGGGGGTGGGGCCTGAGCAATGGCCGGGTAAGAGCTGCCTTGGATTTCGGAGTGCTCGGAAATAGATAATTGCAGTAAAAATAAACCTCCCAAAGAGAGAAATGTTGACTCCTTGAGATGAATCCATAACAAGACGATACAAGGAACATAAAAGGTAAAAAAAATTCATTATTATCTCAAAAGCAGACTTAAAATACTTTACTTTTGTTTTGTGTGGGACGGAGAAGTACGGAGGAAGCCTGTCTGCCATTAAAAAAGACAAATGAGAGACAAACGAGGCAGCTAGAGGCTGTTAGAAATGAACTTTGAGATAAGGAATTTAGCTTTGTAACTGCCTTAAAGTGGAATGGAATTAACCCACAAATCATAATTGGTCAGAAGCTTGAACGAGAGGAGATAAAAGACGATAAAAGCATTGTCCACTGTTAATTGCCTAAAAGGGAGGAACTGGGAGGTGAATAAGACGGAGTAAATATTAAATACGTGTACGTCAAAAAGACCAAAAATATTAGGGGGAAAGCTTTGGAAGAGAGGTTTAAGACAAACTGAGAAAGATAAACCTTCAGATAGAGCTTTTGGGAGGCTTTCTAGATTGGAACAGACTGAGCAAACAGAAATGTTAAGAAGCCCCCCTAAAAAAAATGGCTGCTCCTGGAAGTTCACTCTCAGAGAAGCAGGAAGAAGGAAAGGGGAAAGATAAAAA